ACTTCTTAGCCTTACTAGGAATATATTATTTATAAATTATAATAACAAAAGTATTTAGTAAATTATTAAATTTAGTTATTATATTAAGATCTTTCCTTTTATACTTACTTTTTTACTTAGAAAAAAGTCTAATACTAAGAATTATAATACTAAATAAAAGAATAAAGACTGGAATCTATAAATAATAAAAGAAGGATCTAATAGATTAAATAAGTACTATAAAGTACTTAGAGATAATCTTTATAGTTATAAAGCTATTAACTATCTTACTACACCTATTATATCTACTAAATAAATCTAATTATTAGATCTAGGCCAGGATTATTACTAAATTTAGATAGATCTATTATAGTGAAGGATAGAGGATTAATATTATAATAATAATATTAATCACAAAGAAGATTAAAAGCAGTATATACTTTAACAATCCTATTAAAAAAAGAGCTTATAGCTATTATCTAATACTAAAGCTAATTAAGAATAATATATATTACCTAGATTTTTTAGGATATAGTCTAGCTTAATTATGATGAGAATTAAGTCTTCTATAATATAGAAAAAAAAATAATAGAATAATCTTCTTATTAATCTTATCTAAGATAACTAGCTTCTTATATAAAATCAATTTAATTTAATAAAGTATTAAAATAAATTATTAATTAGATATAAGAATAATTAATACCCATCTTAAAAGCTAAAATAATAATAATCTAATTAAATATATTATAATATTAGGCCTAAAAAATCTTAGCTTTCTTATTCTAGGTTCTAGATTTAGTATAGTAGAATAAATATTATAGGATCCTAGTAATCTTCTTAATAGTAGTCTAGATATAGTAATAGACAATTGCATAGTTTAAGAAAAGGAGTTAGGTCTATTTATACTGAATCTATAAGATAATAGATCTATTAAGGAAGTTTTAGTAAAAGAGATTAAAAAATATATTATAGATAAGATTATAATAGATGATTAGGCTATAGACTAGCTAAAGATAAAAGAAGAATATAATATGCTAGAATTCTTTCTTTATTATTAGTGATAGTATACTTATCAAAAAAACTATAAGATATTAAATCTCTTATAAGGTTAGGACTAGGGCTATTTACTTCTAGTATATCATAATAATCAAGATAAGATAACATTTATTAAAAATAACTTAATTAAGCTATTAGATAAGCTATAGTTAAAGAAAAAAGATATAAAAATTCAGATACATAGCCTACTTAATATTCATCAGAATAAGAGAACTAGATCTTAAATATATTAACTTATAGATCTAATTCTATAAGATAATCTTAATCCTAATATCTTAATATTAATAAAGCATATCCTACTTAAGAATAACTAGTAGAAGGATTATTATTATAATTTATATATCTAGTAATTAATAAAATAGAAAATAGAGTAGACTTTTATTCTTATTTATCTAAAATATTATAATTATTTTATTTAAGCCCTAAAGAATATATTTAAGCATTTAATATTAATAAATAGATTAATATTATGCTCTTAGATTATATATCTATTTTAAGATGGATTATGCTTGCTTTATTATCTATTAGCTCTATATAGATTAAGACTCTTAACAATAATAGAATTATTAGATAAAGGTTAACTCTATTATCTAGTTTTAGACTTATTTAGCAGGACTCTTATTCTATTCTTATTTTATAGTGGGCTCTAATTCGTGGAAAAATAAGATAAATAATAGACTGGGCTATGGTCTCTTAAAAGGATTAGGAATAATATATAAAGAGAGTTATTAGATTAATTAATACTAGACTTTACTGGCTTGCTAGAATTCTTAGAGACTAGCATCAATAAGACCAACTTGGAAATTAATAGTGCCTTTATATACCTAATTATCAATATGTAGTATATATATAGTTTAATAGTAAAAAATAACAGCTATACTACTATTATAGTCTTTGATCTAGTTATTGTCCTTATTATTAAGAGAACCCTTAATAAATTATAATATAAGAGTCTTAAACTTTTTAATTATAATCCTAACTATAATCTAATACTATATATAAATATGGATTTATTTATTAAGAATTTACTATCTAACTTAAATTATTATTTTAGTAAGATAGTTTTCTAATTATAAAGTAATACTAAATACTTATAGATAGTTATAGAATAGAGTAGGTGTATAAGAATGATCCTAATAGACTTTATAGTGTAGTTATTATTAGAAGAGTATAATTAAGACTAGGTATTAGGTTACTAACTAGACTATCTTTAGAAGGAGAAACTAAGTAGGTTAATAAGAGGTATTACTATAATAATAGATCTTATAATAATTTAGGATAAATAGTATCTAATTATTATAGAGAAAGAGATTTTATATATAGAGTAGAATATTCTGCTAATAGATCTTTAGAAACTTAGTCTATTATATCTACTAGTTAGATTTAATAAAGAATAATATTATTAGTATTTTTAAAAAGTGCTAAACTATAACTTTATATTATTCCCTTATATTATATAAAATCTATTAGATCTAGTCTATACTCTAGATTTAGAAGAGGGGGAATAATATAGAATTTTAATTAATATAATAAAAAAGCCACTTCTAATAGAGATAGATATAGATATAGTTCTAGGTATTAGTAAGAAAGAAGGCTCTTATCTTTATAGTATTCTAGTTATCCACTAGCCTATCTAGGCAGAATTAAAGGATCTTCTTCTTAGGTTAAGATAGGCCTAAGAGATAAAGTTTCTATTTAAAAATTATTATTATTTAAAAGATTTCTTTTTATATAAATTAGAATAATTTTAATAAGAATAGGTTTATATCCTAAAAAATAATAATCTAGTTTTCTTAATTTTATTATACTTGTGCAGGGGGCATCTTAATTATTCTAATCTAGAATTTATAAAAATAATTCTCTAGTAATTTAGTCATAGATTTAGAAGTATTATTTAGTAGTTAATAATCTTAATATCTAATAATAATAATAGTTAGATTAATTTTTAAGTAATACTAGTATTTAAAGATAGAAAGAGTAAGGATCTAGATCTAATTATTATAGATTAGCTGCGATAGAAAAAAGATATAATTATTAACTATTATCCACTACTTCTAGGTAGGGCTCTAGAAGAAAAATATAATAAAGGATATAAAAATAGAATTAAAAGCCTAAGATAGGATTAATTATTAAATGATTACTAGATAAAAATAAAAGATCTGTTCCTTTAATTATTATTTATATTTAAAGACCTCTGTATAGTCTAGCTTTAATTTATTAAAGTTATTAAGCTTCTAGGCTACACTTATTATATTATCTTAGATAATTAATTAGCTCTTAGTGAGCTAGAATAATAAAGTAGATAATATATGATTATCTATAACTTAGTTCTAATAACAAATAAGCTTCTATTAGATCTAGATATATTATATCCAGCTTTAGATATTTTATAATGACTAGATTAGATTTTATAAGATCTTTTTATAGGAAAATATATTAATAAACTAGATATTCTAGTGGCTTAGCTATAGTATATAACTATAATAGAGAAGCTGCTCAGTTTATCTCCAAAATTAGTCTATATAATAATAGATAAGTAATAATAATGTTTTCTCTAGTTCTAAGAGTTAATATAGATCCCTAATAATATTAAGATCTATTTTAACAAGATAAGTATGAATATTCATAATTTATAATTAAAATATGATTTTAAAGATATATTAACTATCTTAGATGATATATAGAAAGGAATCTTAACTTTAGATTATATAATACTTATCTAAAAGCACTTCTAGAAATAATAAATAATTAGTGGTAGTAAAAGAGGATAAAGCTTAATATTTAAATATATTAATATGTAGATATATATATAATAGATAAAAATATAAAGAGATAATAAGTAGTATAATTAAATGAGTTAAAATAATAATAAAGTATTAAATCTGTTCTTTTTCTTGAAATAAGGTCTAAAGATAGATATAATATTAAAATATTAGTCCTTAAGACTTCTTTTATCTATATTTCTAATTATAATATTATTATATATGATTAGTACTATAGAAATAATAATAATAATACTTTATATAATAGAAAAAGCTAAGATTAATAAAAAAGTTATAAATCTTAGCAATATTATTAGAGGGCTAAATCACTTTATTTAAGTTATTAGTAATATTATAATATTAAAAGTGTTATTTAATATTCTGTTACTAGAATCATTTAATATAATATTTCTAAAAAAAGTATTAGGGAAAATTATAATAAGTATAGTATAAGCTATGCTTAGTATAGAGAATTATTCACTATTAAGTAAAGATATAAAGATAAAATAGAAAGTTAGATTCTTCTACCAACACAGAAGATCTAGTCAGATTATAAGAGTGAGATATTTATAAAGAGAGAAAGAATATATTAATATAAAAAAATTTAAAAAATAATAACTATAAAAGAGTTTTAAATAAAAATAAACTATAATACTAATTTCCTTTAAACTATAAATAGAGCTAACTATATGTATTCTAGCTCCTGAGAACTTTGTTAGCCATAACCCTAAACTATCCTTTGGTTCAATGCAAACTAATGATAGAAGCTCATGATACGTTGTTCATTTACTATCTGGTCGGCGCCTGAGAATATAGTGCCATATGTCGTAAAGCGCTAGAGTGCCTAGTATACAAAATAATAGTTTATTTATACACATTGATAGATATCTAATTATATTGAATTTTACTTCATAATGAGCTTAGAGACTATCGTAACACCATCTTACTGAATGATGATAGTAATCACGGTCTCGCTGAAAATAACCAACCCCTGACAATTGTTGAGCGATGCATTCAGGCGAAACAAAAATACACATGCATAACGGCGTATCGACACTAGCTCGACTGGATTCTGGAGCTCGGCGCGCGCCAAACACCCGGAAATCGCCTCGTACGATTTCAGAATTGCATAAATAACTCTATATAGGTATGGATATCTTGAATATCAAAAAAAAAAAAAAGATCCATCAAATTTACTCCACCATGGCTTTCCCAGATTCATATATCGACCTTCTCCTGTCGAGTTGTCTCCACAAGCCGTCTTTGGAAGTCGAATTTTATATTCCGCGCTTCCGAAATCGCCTCGCAATCATTGCTTCCTGGGACATCCCAGCAAGTCAACATCTTCTAGATATTGGATGCGGTCAAGGCGAATCGTCACTCGCCCTCGCTCTAGCAGTGTCGCCCATAGGCCACATCACGGCCCTCGATCCTGCTCAGCCTGATTACGGAACGCCTTTCACTGTAGCAGAATCTCATGCCTACATCCTCAATTCGCCCCTTGGGCCGCGCATTTCATTTAACCAAGCTGATGCACCATCTTTCTTCAAGGATTTACAACCGGGATCTGCGAATATCTATGACGCGGCTTGTCTTTTGCACAGCTTAATGTATTTCCCTACCCTGGATAGTGTATTTACATTATTCCGAGTCTTGGCCAAAACAGCAATTCATAAAGTGTATGTGGCCGAGTATGTCTTTGCCGCAAACGATGACACTCAAATGCCTCATTATTTAGCCGCACAGGCGCAGGCACTTTTCCATGAATATCGCGGCCCCCATGTCCCTGGGATCAGAGAGCAAAATGTCCGTGCAGCGCCTACACCGGCCAACATTAAGGAGGCTGCGCTTAAGGCGGGATATACGGTTTTACGGGAGGGAATTATCTCCCCCGAGGAGGAGATGCGAGAGGGACTTTTTGAGGCAAGGCATGTTGCAGGCAATGACTTCAAAAGTATGGTACTTGCTGAGCGTTTACAACCGGCACAGGAGGCCGAGATTCTGTCTTATGTGCCGAGGGTGCAGGAAGCCATGGAAAAATTAAAGGGACATAAGTGTTCCCAAGGTCGGGCTATGGATGTATGGTGGGCCGAATTTGCACTGTAGAGGTAAGGCATTCATGACAAGTCACATTACAATGCTGGATTAGTTTGGTACATTGAGACTGACTAGCTAACTATAAATAACCTTTGAGTGAAATCAAACGTCAGGTTATGAGCTCCCATGACTCCTTAACGACGAAAACAAGTCAGATTCCTGTAAAACCTCCGAAGGGGTCCCCGAATGGATGACCCTGCCTTGCTCCATGACAAGTACTCGATCATATTCTAAGGCTGTTTCTAGTCGATGTAGAATAGAAATGGTTGTTTTGCTATGCAATTTTTCCCTAATCAGGCGCATAATTTGCCGTTCCGTTTCTATATCAACACTGCGAGAACGATATATTGTTAACACGACAAACTGTGTTATCTTACCTCGATAGATATTAAAAGGGAGGAACTGACCTGCTCGTAGCCTCATCAAAAAGAACAATCCCACCAGGCTGCTGTTGCGCATCAAGAATTGTGCGAGCTAGTGCAAATAGCTGTGTCTCACCTGCAGATAGCGATACATCCACTAATGCAGTCTCAAGGCCACCGGATGACTCGATCTTCTGTTTCAGTGCACAATCGGAGAGAATGGCCCAGATATCATCATCACTTAAGGCCCCCTGAGGATCCAATGCATTGCGAATCGTCTCCCCTTGAATATAACCGTCCTGTGAAATGACATGGAACCTCGATCGTAGTAGGGATGCCTTTACGCATGAAGTGTCAAGCCCATCGATTATGATGGTACCTTTACGTGTCTCGATTAACGATAGCAGTGTAAGCAACAGCGTAGATTTTCCGGATCCACTACGACCGCAGACAGCAACCTTTTCTCCGGCATGAATAGACAAAGTGATTCCGTCCACGTTCCACACAGGCTTCTCGGAAAAGGACGTGTAGCTGGAGCCGACATCCTCAAATCTGATTTCCCCGGATTCTGGCCAATGTGGAGGAATATCAATTGAAGACGTGACGCTCGCTTCTCGAGGGGTGTCTTTTCGGAGCGTCTCAATGCGCGCAATAGCCCCAAGGGAAACCTCGAGTGAAGTCCAAGATGTCATCAATTCAGCCATAGTTTGTCCTAGTGTAGTTAGATTCAAGAAGGCCACACCAATGGCTCCTAGATTTGTTTGGCCTCTAATCCCTACAGCTATACCCGCAACAGTCACAGATAGGCCAGCCACAACAAGATCTAAAGTAAGTTGCAGCCAGCGCTGAACTGCGTATAGTAGATAAATTGGTTCTTGTGACCTATTAAGCTGCTCGTGGAATTCACGCTTCAAAGTGCTCTGCCACTGGTGGGCACGAATCGTCACAAGACCTGAACACGTCTCCATTAGCTTTGTATGTAAACTAGCTTTTGACTGCAACTCGTGTTGCCGAAGTTGCTTCGATGTACGTAGGTAGAAATGCTGAATAAGATAGATGACAATCAGTAGGGCCGGTAGTACTGAAAGGGCGTAAACCGCCGCCACTACTACCAGCACTACCTGTATTATGCTGGTCAGTAGCTGTGCAACAGTGTTGAAGAGATTTAGAGGTAGCGACATGTCAATCATCATGAGGTCTTGATTGAACCGGTTGAGTAGCTCTCCCACATCTGTATCACTAACAAAGCGGAAGGTAGCATTTAAGACCGTCTCTAGCAACTGTCGATGAAGCCCTACACCGGAGGTAGGCACAATTTTCAAAAGAAGATGGCTTAAGGCAGGTTAGCAAAAAGTAACATCCACCACAAATGTAGTGATACTAACCCCAACCATATACACAGCATTATCAACGGCAGAGTCTGCAACATGGCATATATACCGAGCCAGTACCCAACCTCTTGCGAGGAGTTGTTATCCTCGGACCACCATTGTGCCCAGATATCTAACATTCTGTCAGTACTTTAATACTTGGGGGTTGAAGTAGCTGCGATACATACCGGGAAACTTGATACAAAACGCAAAGGCTATACCGAAGAAGACAAAAATGAATAGGTTGCCCAGCCCAATGGCATTGAAGTAGGTGCGATACACGGTCCGATCGGTTACACGAGAGGCCGCTTCGGGCACCTTTTGAGCATCGGGCTTTGCTATCTTCATGGGACGTTCGTTAACATCATCTATGGTCATCTTGACTTCGGCCTCGTCCTCTGTGGCGTTGAAAAGCATTTCTTTAGCTCCGAATTCATATTGAGAAATACTACTAGCCCTATCGATCTCATAGACCTGGGTTGCCATCGTGGCCCAGCGTGCTAGATATTAAGTCAGTGGCGATTAAACAAGCATAAATAGAAGCACTAGGGAGCTTACGGTCCTGTGTAGTTTCAATAACCGTAATTTGAAGTAAGCGTAGAATTCCAGCAGCACCAAAGAGCCGTTCTCTGATGTGCTTGACTGTTTTCCTGTCTAAAGCACTGAAAACGTCATCAAGAATTATTATGTCAGGCTTCTGCGCAATAGTCCGAGCCAACGCCTATCCGAAGAGATTAGTCGAACGTAAAACCATCGCACTTGACTACAGCTTCAACGAAGTCATACCAGTCTTTGTCGTTCACCACCACTCAGGCGAACTCCGCCACTGCCGATTGCCTCGCTAGACTCCTGAGCATCTACTAACTCTCTCAAAGCGCAAGCATCAATGACCTTACGGCGCCATTCTTCATTATCAGATGCACACCGGAATGCGTTTTGGAGAACTGTAGCATTCTCTAGCCAGACTCCTTGGCCACAGTAACCAATGCGAGCACTGCCTATACGGACTGTACCAGATATGCATTCAGCCTCGCCTAAGAGTGCTTTCATCAGAAGCGATTTGCCACAACCCACAGGGCCGGTGATAGCTACATGATCACCTTTGCTTATCCGCAGAGATATATCATGCAAATCTGCTTTAGTCGTCCAGCCGAAGTCGGCCTTTTCGACCAAGACCGCAATATCATCCTGAGAAGGCTCACTTAAATCCAGCTTTGGACTAGTAGTTTCATGCGCCTCTACAATGGATTCTTTAGAATATCCAGGGTTGGAGGGGATATGTCTATAGTCCATTCTTTCTGGCCTTTCCAGGAATGCGTTTAAACGCGCAAAACAACCCTTCGCCGCACCGAAAGAAGGGAGCATCTGTAGCAGACGTACCAATGGAGCTGCCAAAAGGCTGATCAAGATCAAGGAACTGAATAATTTGGAGGGATCGAGATTCTGTTGAGAAGATAGGGTTGTTCCGATATATGCGCCAAACACAAGAACGGGGGACAGCGTCAACGTAGTGTAGGCTGATTTCTTAGATTAGTGGAATTTCTCATGGCTGAGAACAAAGGCCATTACTTACATGATAAAACACTTCCAACTAATAAGCTGCGGAACATCTTCGATGCAATAAACTCTTTGTCTCGAAGCCCTTGTATGGTAGAACTTGTCTGTTCTTCGGAACCCGTCGTCTTTATGGCTTTCAGAGAGGACAGCATCTTCCTTGTGGCTGCTATTCTCTTCTCCGTACCTGCCATCCATATCTGCTGTTGCTTACCGGTTGATTTACCGATATATGTAGATATCACAGTACACACTATCATTTTCTATCAGTGTGAGAAAAAATAAAGAGCAAACAGAAATGTACCTAGTGCTAGTCCAAGTACCGTCAAGCTTGAAGGCCCGATCTGTCGCCATAGGAGCCAAGTGGCCAGTGCTGTTTCTAGTAATCCGGCCCAGACTTCGTGCATGAATGTTAACGATGTCGAAATACGCTGAGTATCGTTGATCGTTAGAGTCAAAGTCCTGGACTCTATTTCTTTTTCCTCTCGCAAACGTAACATTTTATCAAAGACCACGTCCACCAAGCCACCTCGAACCATCGTGATGGACTTGTAAGTTAGGTGCGAGTACCAGCTATTCGAAATCTATAATAAAGCATGTGAGTTCAAATGGGAACCGAGTTCTCATTTACAGGCGGGTCACGTACTGCGATACCTCCGTATACGAGAAAGGAAGCTCCTATTAAACCATATCCGTCGTCCTTTGACTCTGACTTGTCAGACAGATACTGGATAAGGGCTGTGGTGAGAAATGGCTGAGCAAAGGTAAATCCAGTAACGCACAACCGAGGAAGGACCGGAAGAAGAAGGTAACGACCCAGACACAGTAGAGTTTGACCGGGCAGACCAAAATAGGGCGCTGGGAGTATAAGGTTCGTGTCAGCCTAGTCAATGCTTGCCATGGCCTCAAAAATCACTTACCAGTCTTTATAGAAAGTATCGACGCAAATCGAGCGCTCAGATGTGGCGCATATAGAACTTTAGCGATTGGTTGAAGATCTGGCGCGGTAAGAGTGCGTCGATAACCCGTCCAGAGGAGACTATTTAGCCACAAAAACAAAGATCGACTGATGAAGCCAGCGGTCTCTTCACTGGACTCTTTTTTGACATTCTCAAGCTGTCGTTTCTTGCCACTTTCAAGAATCACCATCACGATTTGTACAAGCAGTGCTGCGAGGGCAACTGACGCAATAATATGGTATGTTTCCAAAGACCAATAGGTTCGTGTCATGACCGCTCGAAATAGTACTGTAAGACACAGATAAAAGGCGAGGAGGAATGAAGGACGCTGAGATCGAGTATGCTCATAATGAGAGAGGATTGCGATAGCAAGTGAAGCCAAAAATGACAATACGGCAGCAGGAATAGAGAGTCGTGTCGTTTTCCCATAATCAGTGCCTATAAAGATGAGAGAAACTAGCTCAAGAGCAGCAAATACAGTGGTGGCGGCCTGATTTTTTTCCTTCTGGTCACTAATCATTTCATGGAGGCAAACTTTCTAGCAATAGCTACGTACCAGCTTGAGGAAATATAGAAGGCTTCCTGTACCCAACACTGGTCGCTGAACCAATACAGACAGACGAACAGCGGCTCCAATTAGGAGCAGACTGGATGGGAGCAGAGCAAAAAACAGCTCCTCGAAGAAGAGAGTAAAATCAAAGACCCTCCGACAGGGAGCCACCACCGGACCAAAGACTTTGTCTGCAGCGAAGGTGCACGACATCGCGTTAATCCTGCGCTTCCCTAGAGGCCAGGAGACACGTCAAGATGGTTTGTAGATGGGAAGAATTGACCAGTATCTACCCACCCCTGTTGTAGAAATTACTGTGGCGAGAATGACTCCTGAGTGCTTGTCCCTGTACGTGGCATCTGACGCGAGTCTTGAAAGCAGAACAATACCGATAAGCAGCATCCTAGCCCTATTAGGGAAGGTGGATAGCAGCGATACTACGGAGGACTAAATGAACATGCCCGCCAAAACTGTTTTTGCTAGTAATGAGGCTTACCAAATTTGGTTATATTACCGTGTGATTTCTATACTGTCACGCGCCTGGATCCACCCTAGTTGTCACTGGCTGTGTCAAGGTACAATATGATGGTTGAACCACACAGAGGTTCATGAGGATTAACTTATCAATATAATTAAACATAGTTTAGACTTATTAGTAACAAAGATTAGTTAATCGCAACTAAGATAAAAAAAGTATCTTAAAGTATTATAATACTTTAAGTAAATTTGCCTTGCTAACTCTCTTAATATATAATTAAATAACTTAGATTAAAAAACTATACTAGATAGAACTAAATATAGAAATGAGTATATTTATATAAATAGTCTATTAGTATATATCTTAGTATATAATTCTTTCCTATATGCGCTCTAGCATATATTATAATATATACTTTAATATATATCTCAGTATATAGTAGTTATTATTTTAGCATATATATACTAATCATATATTTTCTTATATTAGTCTTAAGCCTATAAATTTAGTAATTATTCTATATACTAGTATATATAAATAACTAGTTATAATATTAATTACTTTAATTAAGTATTTTTTCCATATAATATTAGTTTCTACTTAGTATCATACAAATTAATTTTATAATATTATTTCTCTCTTTTTAGGATCTTTATCTCTAAAGATATAAATAGAAAGATTTATTCTTATTTCTAATATAACCCTACTTTCTTTATAAGTAAGTCTTCAAAATATATTAATATATTTAAACTAAGTCTCTAAATTTACTAGTATTATTATTAAACTAACTATAACGTAATCCACCCCCGAGTTAGCCACCCCACCGAGTTGGCCACTTTTCTCCGGAACACGCCAAATATCCAACTCTCTATATTCAACGCGTCAATATGCCACCAATTCGCAATAAAAACCAGTCAAATTCTCGGGAACAAAAAGGATGCATCTAATTAGCAATATCTAATTTAAAAAATGAGAAAATTTGCTCTATATAATAAGCAGCTGAGATTTATAATATTTCCTGTTCAACACTTCAAAATAAATTAAATAGTATAACTTATTGAGCTAAAATATATATTAATAGTTATATATTTACTTAATTTAAAGAGGAATTGCTTATTAAATAAATATTAAATTTAGATAAGTAAAGATTACCTCTCCAGCTATCTCTTATATAAAATATAGCCAATTATCTTCTTTTATAGAATAGAAATCAACAAATTAAAAAGAACTAAGTATATAAACTAGTATAATATTATTTAGAGCTTAAATTATAATTTTTATAAAAATATAACTATAAGCATATTAAATATAAAGATCTAAAGATAATTAAGGAATATTTTAATTATATATAAGAGATTATAATTAAGTATAAAATCCTATTAGAGGATATCTATAACTTTAATAAAACTAATTTTATAATAAGCCTCTATATAAGCATAAAGATTATTATTAAAAATAATTAATATAGCCATTCAAATCTACTACAACCTAATAATTAAGAATAAGTAATTATAATTGAGGCAATCAATTCTACTAGCTAGACTTTACTTTTATATATAATTTTTAAAGCAATAAAATACTCATAAAAAATCTAATTTAAGGGTCTTCTAGATAACTAAAAAATTAATATTAGTAATAATAGATAGATAATAGATATAATTAAAATAGATTAACTTATTAATTATTTTATTTCTTATATAAATGGCCAGGTAATTAGGTAATATTAAATATTAATTCTTAATAATTATGAAAGTTATTTAACTGTTAAATTTAATTATATATATATTAAAAATAATATTATTCTAATCTATATATCTTTATATTCCTTATATCTCTTATAGCCTTTTAATATTAGCTATTTTATAGTTCTAAAGTAATAATATAAAAAGCTTATTAAGTAGTAAATAAGATTTAGCTTTAATTATATTAATAAAATTAATTTTCTTACTATTTTTTTTAAAGCATATATAATAACATATAAAGTTAAGATTATTTAGAATAGCTTTAAGATAGCTAGATTAATACTATTAAATCTAGATTAAATATATTAATAATTTATTATCTAATTAAAGACCTTAATATCACCTCCTTATTTACTTAGTAATTCTTAATTCTTCTATCTTTAAATGCCTTAAAATCCACATTAATTTAAATGCTAATTAAATATAATTAAGCAGCGATTTAATTAGCATATAAGAAGTCTATCTAAGATAATTAATAAAGTAATTAACTAAATATTAAAGACTTATAAAATAAATATTAATAAACTTCTAATTATCTAAAAGAAAATTCATGATTTATAGGCTACAAATAAGAAAGAAAAACAAAAATATTAAAGATCTATAAAATAAATAACTCATAAACAAGAGATTATTAGAGAGAAAGCTCAGACACTTATACAAGACTAGATTAAGATATCTCAATTTATTACTACTACTCTAGCTAAGCCTGAGCTTCCTATCTCTTAGGTATATGTACGCTGCTAATTTCAATATAGTCTGTGTAATATTCTCAGATATAGATCGCCTTAATGTCCTAATCAAACTAGTAATTAAATTTTTATATATAATTATTATTTCAGGTTGAAATTTCAGGTTAAAATCAATATATCGTACACGGACGGAGAAAAGTGGCCAACTCGGTGGGGTGGCCAACTCGGGGGTGGATTACGTTATTCTTTAGAACAATCTTTTAATTAATAATCTATATTCTTATTATATCTATCAGGGTTTATCTTATATTATAGATTTAAAAAATTATAATTATACTTTATATATTTAGAATAATAAAAAGTATGAATACTACTTTCATACTAATAAAGATTAAAATAAGCTCTAATAAGCTGAGTTAAAAGTAAAAACAGATATAAAGATTATTAAAAATAATCTTAAGGCTTCTTTAAAATTTTAATAAGAATTATTTTAATAATAATAGTATTTAATATAAATGCAATAGAAGATTATTATAAAACTAGTTTATCTTTATAAATAATAGAAACTTCTTAAAAAGTATAATAATAAAATGTTAGATTATAATATAAATATTATAAATATTCTTAATAAGAAAGATCCTAAAAATCTTATTTTAACTCCTCTAAATAAATAACAATTAAATATTACTACTAGACTCCTTTTAGATATTAAGATATTACTTATTAATCCTAGATTATTTCTTTTATAAGATTCCTTTTTATCTAGTATTATATCTCATAAAACTTCTTAATAGTATCTTATACTTTAATAAGATTTTTAATAATTTTTAAATACTTTCTATTTTATCATATTTTTTTTATTTTATTAAATACTTTTTTTTTCTAACTGTCCTAGTTACTAAAAATTTTTCTATTTTATAGATTTCTTATTTAATAATAATATTATTTTATATTTTAGTATTTTAAGATACTAATTCTAGTAGTAAAACATAAAATATTAAATATATCTTCATTAACTTTAGTAATTTAAATTTATAATTAACTTCTTTAATTTTTTCTTATATTTTAAATAATCTAATCTATAAGTGATTAAGTTTATTATTTTTTTATAGTATTTTAATATTTTTTTAAGATAAATAGATCTTCTCTTCTTTTTTAAGATTAAATTTTTTTTAATTTTTCTAATTATATTGTTCTATATTTAAGTATCTTTTATATTTAATTTCTCTTTATAATACTATATATAGAGCTTTTATAATATTAATTTTTTCTGCTGTTTCTTCTATAATTAGTTATTTATATTTAGGTTATTCTAGTAATCTAGTCTCTCTTTTTATGTATATTATAAAAGGTATTATCTTGATTGTTGCTTGTTTTATCATATTATATATTAATTATGCTATTAATAATAGTTCTATTTAATTATTTTGTTGATGATTGATGTAATTTCTTAGATATTATTTAAGTATCTGGTTTGTTTTTTTTATTTGTTTATTAATTTATAAATAATAAGCTGAATTTAATTATTATTCTTCTTCTATTAGATCTATTATAGATTTTTATAGTTATAATATAAATGCTGGTCTTTTGTCTGATATTATAATCTTTAGTATATTGTAATATTAAAATACTTAATATAATAGTATCTTGGCTAGTAATAATGTATCTATTTTTTTTATTATTAATATGAAGTGTGTGTATTTTGTTATTTTATTTATTATTACTAAGATTGAGTTATGTTTTTCTGATTTTGATAGTTTTATAATAAGATTTATTATTATTTATTATCATAAATATTCTGATGTTTATAGTGGTTGTATTTATCTGTATAGTTTATGTCTTATAATCTTGTTCTTTTAGTATATATTGCATTCCTTGATGTAGTTGTTATCAGAGAATCAGAATGTTACAGCCAATGGATAAGGGAAACTAATGCATGATAGAACAAAAGATTATCTATGATTGCTAGGGTTAGGATAACAAAGCTAATAGAGCTATAGTTATATTGACTATATTTATAAGAATAGAGCAAATAGAATAATAGCTATATTGGTTATAATAAAGGAAAGTTATATAAAAATGCTTATTTATCTTATATTTAGTTTTCTTTTATTATCTTAAATTAACTATAATAACTTAAGTATATAATTTTTATTAATTAGAATATTTAGAAATCTTATTTTTATTTTTTTTATTTTACTAGATCTTTTAATCTTAAAAATCTATTAACTTTGTTTATTAATAACTATTTTAGCTATACTTAATAGTAATCTAATTAAAATTTTTAATAATTTAAGATCCTCA